CTTCCTTCCTTCCTTCCTTCCTTTTTGTTGTTTGAACACCTTAATGACTTCCTCTTACTTTTCCCTAAACTAAAAAAATTTTTTTAATATGATTATTATTATTATTATTATTATTGTCAAGAAAAGATTTACTCTGGATAATTATTATGTTTAAATTAAATTTCCGGGATTTTTTTTTTTTTTTAGGGATACGTCATACCTGTTAACATAAGAGTAACCGATGCGAATGATAACGCACCTGAATTTATAAACGGACCATACGTTCTTAATATATCAGAGGTATTAATGATAATAATAATAATTCGATTGTTTTATGTATTAATTATTGATCGTTTTTTTTAGGTAACAGTTATAGGTACGAGAGTTTTACAAGGTATACGAGCTGTGGATAAAGATCAACAGGGACCATTTTCAACGGTGCAATATTCCGTCGTACCTGGTCCTTATTCGGATTATTTTGTTTTTTTAAACGCACTAGAAGGAACTTTGATATTGAGAAAAAGTTTAGATTATGAATCCATAACAAATTTTACTATTAAAATCCGTGCTCAGGTACAAATAATATGTACATAATTGTAAATTTACAGTTAGGATCGATGGATCGATCGATCGATCGATGTATCGAAATTTTGCAACGTCATCATTAATTTTTTATTTACTTTTTAAATAAAGGATTTAGGTTCGCCACCTCAATATAACGATGCAGAAGTTAAAATAAACGTCATCGATGCAGACGATCAAAATCCTAGATTTATTACCGATAGGTATTCAGCCGTTCTACCTTCACAACCTGCCGTAGGTACCAGATTACGTTTAGTACCTTTTGATTTGATTGCAACAGATCAGGATAAAGGAATTAATTCTCCAGTATTTTATTCATTTAATTCAGGTATGGAGTTTTGCAAAAACACACGCACCTAACAAAACCTGAAACCTTTTTCTACCATTTTTGTTTTATTTTGTAGATGGAGTTGATTATCAACTTTTTAGTATAGATCCTGCAACAGGATTCATAACAGTTGCCAAAGAATTAGAAGAAGATGATCTCAATCAGCCAGCGACATTAGTAGTTCGGGTAAATTCCATTTTTTTTTATTAAGTTGTCGATCCTGATTATATGATAATAATAATAATAATAATAATTTTTTATATAATTAATCAGGCAACGCAAGTAGATAATAAAGATAGGTACGCACTTGCAACGGTTACAATATCCCGTAAGGGAGGCGGAGTTCAAACTCTTCATTTTCTCCAAAAACTTTATTTGGCTGGAGTTTTGGAAAATGCACCTGTTAATAGTGTTGTCCTTACAGCTGTTACTAATCGTCCGAGGGACAAAGTGAGTTTTCCAACGACTAAATTTAGTAAAAAAAATTGAAAAAGATTTAAATTAATAATTAATTTTTATATTAGCGCGTTCGTCAATGGCTGGAAAAAGAAGAGGGAGTTTTTGGAGTTAGTAATACTGGAGATATAACACTTCTTAAACCTTTAGATTATGAAACGCGTGACGTTTACGTATTTCGAGTACACGCTACGGATGGTCGAATCGTGTGTTTAATTATTATTATTATTATTATATTGATAACTCTGTGGAAAATTTTGCATTGATAAATAAATAAAATTTAATTAATTTTAGAATGACACGGCATTAGTTAATATAACCGTTTTAAATGTTAACGATTGGGATCCGAGATTTCGATATCCCCAATATGAATTTTTTGTATCTGCAAAAGACCTGGAACCTGGACATGTCGTTGGTACCATCGAAGCAGCAGATGGTGATAGAGGTGATCATTTGACGTTATCATTAAAAGGACCTCATGCTCAGTAAGTTACATATTTTACACTTCATTTGACATATTACAAAAAAAAAAACAAAATGGCGACAATTGCATTTTTATTACAGTTTATTTCGTATTAATAATTCCGGTCAGCTGTCAATAATTTCATCACAAAGTATAAATTCATCGGATGCTCATATAGTAGCCGTTGCTACGGATAGTGGTCTTCCTCCACGGCAAACAAGCGTGCCAATAACGATACATTTTCCTAATAAAATAATCAAAGCTGCCAACACATGGCTTTCAGGGGGTGAAAGTTTTTTAATGATTGGAGTATTTTCAACCCTTTTAATTTTTCTTTTATTAATTATAATTGCACTCGGTCTTTATATACATAAAGGGTTGGTTTTTTTTTCATTTTCATATTTCCCTATTCCTTTGTGACATATACGTAATTTATTATTATTATTATTATTGTTGATAGAAAAAGAAAAAAAAAAGTCGAAGACAGTTCGGAAAAATCAAATTCATCAAGTTCGACAGATTGTAAAACATCCGACAGTTCATCTTCACTATCACCCAATTTAATGGATGTGGATGGTAGAGTTTTCAATGTTGGTACTCTTCCGATGAGGAATCCTCATATACTGCAACCGTTAAAGTAACAATTTTTTTTATAGTACGCCATCTTAAACATGTCGCATCTTAAACATGTCGCATCTTAAACATGTCGCATCTTAAACATGTCGCATCTTAAACATGTCGTCATACACATACATTCTACATTTTTTAGTATAATGTCACGATCCGGTTCGTCTAGAAGTTTAATCCACCGCCATCTACGAAGAGAATAGCTCCGACACCACCACAAATTTCAGAAGAACAAGAATGTACCTGTTCTCTAGGTTCAAGAGAATGGATGAACGGTTCGATTCCAAGAAGAGTAAAAAAACTTAGTTGGGATGATGATAATGATGATAACGTTAACGATAACATTCAGGTAAGTTGAAATAATAATAATAATAATAAATTTTTTTAAATAATAATTTAATCCATTTTTAAGAGAAAAACGTTGAGAAATGATAAAAAAAATTTTTTCTTTTGAAAATACCTGAAATTAATTTTATTTTCAGCGACAGGAAAGGCTATTGTCATACTGGACGATGGTCGTCGCTCCTGATCAATGCACGGAAATATAAAAGACAATTTTATAATAATAATAATAATAATTTTTCCCTTAAAAAAAAAATTTTTTCATTTTTTTAATATTTTTTTTAAATTTTTTTTTGTGTGTGGTTAGTAATTTTAATATATTTTTTTTTTCATTTATCGGGTATTTGGTTTTCACACAAATTTTCATTTCTTTTTTGCACTTAGGAAGAAAGAACAACACTTGGAAAAAATTCTTCTGGGGTTTTTAAGGTAAGATGCGATACACATACACCCACACACACCCACACTTTTCACTTGCTTAAATCTCTTTTAAATTCACGGGTTTTCCGGCTTAGAATTTTTTTTTTTTTTTTTTTGGTTTTAAATTTCCAAACTGTTATAATTGTAATTTTTTTTTTAACGTTTTTAGGTTATAAATGAAAATTTCAATTCATCTTCAATGAAAAAAATTGTGTCGTCACCAAATGATAACGTTAAAATGACCGTTTATTTTTAAATTTATTCAAAGGAAGGAAAAGGAGGAAAAGGAGGAAAAGTAAATTTTATTATTAATAAAAAACGAATTTTACTAAATCGAATCTGAATATATTTAACGTTGATTAAAATTAATAAAATTTAAAACGATATGGCGCCAAAAATTAATAATAATTTTAAACGTATATATATATATATAATTTAATTAATTTTATTTTAATGTAAATAATAATAATAATAATAAAAATAACATAAGATTTACGTATTTGTTGCGATTTCCTTTTTTTTTTTTTTTTCGTTAATTTTTAAATTGTTTTCCTTAAAAATATGATGAAATAAATAATTTTTCTCCTTAACATTTACCATTATTTACATTTAAAAATTAATATCGTGGAACTAACTAGAATAATAAAACATTTAGCGAACTCTTGCGGCGAATATTTTCATCATCTATAACCACTTCGATAAGTAAAAAAAATGGTCGAAATGGAAATAAGAGAGTAAATGTCATCGATTTTTTTTTTGAGGGATATAAAATAAACACGTGAGTAAATTGTAAAAAAAATTTTCAAAAAACAAATTATTAATCGTTATGTTTGAAAATATCTTTTTACAATCATCGTAAAATATTACAACGTGAAATAAAATCAATTTAAAATATTGACGGTTATTTAATAATAATAATAATAATAATAACAAATTCGTTGTAAATAACCGGAATTTGTCAAGTAAAAAAAAAAAAAAAAAAGAAACTTATTATTTGTTTTGTTATTAATTTAAAAAATTGATTGTTGTTAATTAATGTCAGTGTGTTTAATATAAATATTTAATTAAGGACAATAATAATTAAAAACGTAAAACGTAGGGTTTTGTATGGTAAGTACACACACACACACACACATATTTATTTACACTTTTTTTTTGTATTAGCTTATCAAATGTCTTAACGGTTATAATTTAAATTTTATGATTTACAACATTTTCTTTATCGATAATTTTTAAACCCTTCTTCGAAAGATATGAAGGTGGATTTGGTACTTTTTTTTTTATCTAACATATAGATTTTTATTTTATATAAGAATCATCGATAAATGCACTTTCAATATCGATAATATTTATATAATTTTATTCAAAATTAATGTTTATGCCATGTAAATATGATTTTTCTAAAGGAAAAAAAGATGTGGTGAGTCGAGTCTCTTATTACTCAAAGTAAAATCATTTAATAAAATTTTTAATCGACAAACAAACAAAAAAAAAGCATGAAATATCGATATTAATAAAAAAAAAAAAAATGTTTTGCAAGCAATTATTAAATGACTTCCTTATTCGATTATAATTAATTTGTGTTGCAAGTTTTTTGTTTTTTTCTCGAAGGATATAAAGAAAGAAAGAAAGAAAGAAAAAGAATATTTGATAGCATGAAAACAAAAAAAAAAAATTAGTTTCGAATAAGTAATATGATAATGTTATTAAATTTATTTGATTACTTATCGAAAAACAAAAAAAAAAAGTTTTTGTTAATATTTTTTTTTTTTTTTTTTTTTTTTTTTTGAAAACTCATTATCATTATTATTTTATTTTTAGTAGGGGTCAGATTTTAAATTTATGTTAAAGCACGTATTCCCGATTTAAATGTGATAATTTTATTGGGAAACCATTTTAAAATAATAATAATAATAATAAAAAAAAAATGTTTCACACAATGAAATGAAAAAAAAATTTCTATTTTTTGTTTTTTTGTTTTTTTTTTTTTTTTTTCTAAAAAAAAAGAGAGAAAAGATGGAATATAATAGTTCCCTTATTCATAATGTAATAATAATAATGATAATGGTAATGATAATGATAATGAAATTTTTTGTATTTTTATTCAATCATTGTGTTCATTCATTTTTTTTTTTTTTTTAAATTTAGAATAATGATTGATAATCATTGGTTTATGGGTAAAAATAATGATATAATTTCCCCCTCCTCCCTCCCCCTATGGAAATCATGTTTCAAAATGACTAGAATAATAATAATAATAATAATAATATTTAAAGGAAAAAAAGAAAAGAAAAGAAAATTTGAATAAGAATTCAGTTGAAGGTTAAATGCGGTTGCACCTTAGAAATGCAAACAGGAGATTTTTTTTTTTTTTTAAAAAAGATGTCATTTTATTATTATTATTATTATTTACATATATTATTTTTATTTATTTTTTATTCAAGGTCGGTTTCATTATTATTATTAACATTATTTAAAAAAACGTTATTGATGAGTAAAAAAAAAATCAATCGATGTTTCTTCTTACTATTGAATTTTTTATGTTTATTAAAAATCGATAAACTTTTTTTCTTCGTGCATTTTCAATTTTCTTTTTCTTTTTTTTTGTTTTCGTTACGTTTTAAACGTATTTATTATTATTATTATTATTATTATTATTATTATTATTATTATCAATCGCGACGAATTCGTCTTGTTGTTCGTCTCGAAGCTTTTCCGAGGTTTCTAACCGCCGAATATCTGTTGATGCTGCTGCCCGATGGATAGGTTTCGTCTCGTTGTAACCTATGACGTCATAATAATTCTTGTAAGTGTCTCGCTGAGACGAGTTATTTCCTGTCAAGGGGCTCTGATATCTGTAGAGTGGCCAGGAACTGGAAAAGTGAGGAGATTCACAACCTTGTCAAGAGCTGACTCAGGTCGACAGTAGTGTGTGTGTGCGTGTGTGCGTGTGTCTCACTGTAATGGACCAACTAAGTAGAGTCTGACTGACGGACGAACACACTAGACTAAATCTGTATATAATTGTTTAATGTCTAGGGGATGAATAGGGTACCTATTCCTTCTCTCCCATTTAACGGAATAATCGTGTTATTAACCATTACATAAATCATCATTATTATTAGTTAAAAAAAAAAAAAACGGGGGAGAGGGGAAGAGAGAGAGAGTGAGAGAGATAAATCGCGTATGTAGTTTTGGGTTTTTTTGTTTTCTTTTTTTTGCTATTTTTTTTCCGCGAATAGAGAGGTACATTTATATAATAATAATGATTATTATTATTATTATTATTATTATTATTATTATTATTGTCGTCATAGTCGTCGTAATAAATATACGGTGGGAAAAAGAAAAGGAAAGGAAAGGAAAAAGAAAAAATTCCGAAAAGTTGGGTTTTTTTTATTTATTTTTACATTATGGAAAATTTTCCTTATTATTATTATCATTTTGTTTAAAAAAAATAAAATTTTTGTTTTTTTTTTTTTTTTTTTGATCTTTTTCCACGCTTGTTTTTTTTATGAGTAAAAATAATAATAATAATAATGAAGGAGAAGGAGAAAAAAAATGTTTTTTTTTCTCGTTGCCTGAATTGAATGATTTGAATTTCATTTTCCCCCCGTCTCCCCTTCCTCCCTCCCCGAATAATAATATTCGAAGGTAGTTTTAGCCCTTCTTCTTTTGCTCCTCCTCCTTCTCCTCCCGATCCCCCCGTTCCCAATAATTTATCCCGCATTTTTTTTTTTTTTTTTTTTTTTTACTGTCGGGGGAAAAAGAGAGAGAAAAAAATAAAATTGAATCAATCTAAAGTTTTATTATTATTATTATTATTATTTCTATTATTATCATCATTATTATTTAATGGAAAAGTCGTGTTCGTTCGTTCATTTTCACGAGGTTTTTTTTTTTGTTGTTGTTGGTGCGTTTAATCGTCTGCTTTTAATTTTAATTTCAAAATTAAATTTTTTTTTTTTTTTCGAAAAGGGAAAGACTAAAAAAAAATTATTATTATCATTATCATCATTATTATAGGAGAGAATGTTATTGATGTGACAGGTCGTTAAAGTTAAAATGATTGATTGATTAAAAAAAAAAAAAAATTGCTGTTGGAAAAAATGAAAAACCGGAAGGAAAAAGGAAAAAGAAGAAAAAGTAGGAGGATTAGTTACAAACAAATATGGCGGACGAAATAATAAATTTTCCATTTTCCATTTTTTTTTTTTCAGAGACTAAAAAGTAGAAAAATGAGAGAGTCGTTATTAATTATCATTATTTACGACGATGAGTTTTGAATGAATTTTCCTTTTTTTTTCCTTTTCAGATGTCTCAAAGGAAAAATTTTAATAAGGAAAAAAAAGGCAAAATTTTGATGAACGATCTCATAAAGTGATCAATCCATGTTGCTGTCGGTGCCAAAATTTTAATTATTATTATTATTAATATCGTTAAAAAAAGAAAGAAGAAAAAGAAAAAGAAGGAAAAGAAGAAGAGGAAAAAGAAGACAAAGGAAAGACGAACTAAGAAAAAAAAAAAAAACAAAAGAAAACAAAAACGATATCACAGGAAAAAAAATTCAATGATTTGATTTATTCGTTTGACGTCGATTATTATTATTATTAACATCGTCATCATCGTCATCATCACTGTCAATTAGTTTCTTCTGCTTTGCAAGTAAGTAAACAATAATAATAATAATAATGATAAATGTATAATTTTCATTCGTGAGTAGGGGAGATGAAAAACGACGTAGATTTTTTTTTTTAATTTTTTTTTGACAATCAGATGACGTCACGACGAAAACGAAAAAATAAATTTTAAAAAATATTATTATTATTATTATTATTATCGTATTGATTTTCCGGGGGGAAGGGGGGGGGGAAATTTATTGGAAAAAGGTCGATTTAAAAAAAAAAAAAGGAAAATTATGGACGTGAGAAAAAAAAAAGAAAAATTTTTTTTTATTTCTTTACGTTTCGGTTTCATTTAAATAATATTTTTCTTTCCGCCGTTTTGTCCTTTCGTCCGCCATCTTTTTTTTTTTTTTTTATATTCATTTTGTGTGTTCGATGGAGGTGGAGTGGGGGGGGTGAAGAGGGGGAGGAGCTTAGAATAAAAAAAAAAAAATTTCGTGGAATCAGACGGGAGCTTTTGTCATCATCCCACCACCCCACCGCTTCATTCTAATTTTGTTTTTCTTTTTTTTTTTTTTTTTGTAACGGATTAAATTTTCTTAATTTTCTTTTGGATTTTCCCGCAGCGTCATTTCTTTATTTAATTAAAAAGAAAATCTTTTTTCTTTTCTTTTTTTTTTTTTTTCGAGGGCCTTAATTGTTTCCGTCATTTTGTTTTCTTTCTTTTTTTTTCTTTTTTTTCTTTCTTTCTTTTCGAACGAACCCTGGAAAAGTGCTTTTTAAATGACGTCATGCGGAAAGGAAATATATATTTTAACGTCATTTCCGCTCTCGGTCGAAACGCATTTTCTTTGTTTTTTTTTTTTTTATCTTTTTTTTTCTTTCCCGGAAGGATAATAATTTTCCTTGTTGTTTGTTTGTTTGTTTGTTTTTCTATTAAGGATTTTTTTTTTTGTTTAAAATGGCGGACGGGGGTAATTTCTCTTTCGCATCCTTTCTCCCCCTCGCCCCTCCCCTCCCGCCTCTTTTTCCCTTTCCATTTTTTTTTTCAATTTTCCTCTCGTAATAACAACATACGTGTTCCCGTTTTGATCGATAGATTGATCGATCGATTAATCGATCGATAGATCGATCTATCGTTTTGTTTTTTCTTCTTTGTTTGTTTGGTTTTTCTTCGAGTGAATTTTCATTTAAAAAATTAATTCCAGGTCGAAGAGTAAATAAGAGTAGATAAAAGTTTAAAAAAAAAAAAAAAAAAAAAAAAAAAAAAAGATGAAAACGAATACAGGAAAAGTTCGAAAAAGAAAATCTAGCGAAACGAAACGGCGAAAATTACGTGGTTCAGGTAGGAGAGGAGAAAAATTTTCCTATATTTTTGTCGAATGATAATAATAATAAAATATTTTCCGACTAATAACCATAATTAATTCTTTTTTTTTTTAATTTTTAATTAAATAAAAGCACGTCGTAGTTTTTTATTAATAATAATAATAATAATAATAATATGCACTCTTTCATGCCTTAATATGCCCTAACAAACAAACGCAACCTCGCAACCCCGGTTTCCGGTACATTATTTTCTATTTGATATTTGGCGGTTTGAAATAAAAAAAAAAAAAAAGGAAAAAAAACCTTTTTCCATTGATTTTCCTTTTCTTTTTTTTTCTTTTCTTTTCTTTTTTTTTTTTTGGTTTGGTTTTTTGTGTTCCAGTTATGAAAATGCTCGCCGTAATGGGATCTAATCCGGAATCTATAAAAGATCAGGTAACGGAATTTCTCGTCACGGGTAGAACCGGAAGGAGAAACGCTATGCCGGATATACTCGGTCCGAACGCAACCGTAACGTCGAGCGATTTACCCCAAAAATTAGAAATGTTAACAACCGTCGGTGAGTTAATTCATTCATTCAATCAATCAATCATCATTATTATTATTTTAAAAAATTTTATCATTATTATTATTATTATTATTGAAGATTCAGAAGCGGGACCTTCGTCGACGCCACCACAAAAAGTACAAGAATCGAACACGAAAGAAGTCGTGGAAAAAGAAAATGATCGCAAAGATTCTCCTCCGGTTAAGAAAGACGGATAGACGATAATAACAAAAAAAAATGAAGAAAATTAAATTTATTAATTAAAAAAAAAAAAAAAAAAAAATTTTTTTTTTTTTTTCGTTACGTATCAAATGTATTTATTTATTAAAAATAATAATGATAATTATTATTATTATTAATTAATTTATTTATTTATTGTTGTTAAGTTGTACTAATAAGGAAAAAAAAAAGAAAAATTAGTTTTAGTAACCTGCTCATAAACAATCGTGTATTATTTATTATTATTATTATTATTATCATTATTATCATTTCGAATATTGTTTTGTGATTGTAACGGTTATCGATGGTTGTTATGGTTGTTGTTGTTGTTGTTGTCGTTATTAAATAACGAATCGATTTATTTTGTGATTCGATCGATCGATACAAATAATTTTTCCCAAAGATTTATTTTATTGATTTTTTTAAATAATAATAATAATAATAATAATAATAATAATAATGATAATGATAATGATAATGATAATTACGTATTGAAAAAAAAAATTTGATATTGTATAAATCGTAAAGTATTTATATATATATAAAACTTTATTATTATAAATAAATGTATTAAAAAATCAATTTCTTATTTCTTTTCGGTACTTATTCATTTATTAATAATAATAATGTTTTCTTCTTTTTTTTTTTATTTAAACAAATAAATAATTTTAAATTTGTATTAAAATATATAAAATTTCGATTGTAATGCTGCCATCTATCGACGAATCAAATAATTATGTGGTAAAAATTTATGGAAAAAGAATAATTTGTTTCTTGTAATAATAATAATAATAAGGGTTATTATTTAATAAAAGGAAAAATGAAAAAAGGAGGAGACTGGGGGAAGGAGGAAGCGCTAAGAAATTTCATTCACTCATCATTATCATTATTATTATTTCTAAGTAAAATGTTACAATAATAGTCATCATTAAAAAAAAAAAAAATGTACATAAAAATAAAAGTTTTAATGACGAATTAAATAATATGTATGTATATATGTACTTATTACTAATAATAATAATAATAATAATAAAAGAAGAAATCACGGACCTGGACAAAAGAACAAGGAAAATATTAACTATTAATGGTGCGTTACATCCAAAAGCTGATGTGGATAGATTGTACGTCAGCAGGAAAGATGGAGGAAGAGGATTAAGACAAATAGAAGCGGCATACCAGAATGCCATAATTGGAATGGGAAAATACATAGAATCTCATCAAGGGGACCCTATCTTAGCCCAAGTTATACATACGGAAGAAAAAATTACAAAAAAAAGGAGTACTGAAAAGAACAAAATAAATCGTCAAAGAAAATAAAGCAGGCGAGATAATGGTTACGACAGTAGGTTCATGCATAGTTCTGTATGATCAACAAATCCACACACTGACAGAACTGTGCCAGCTAACAAACCGGAATTTTACTATCCTCAGGCATAAGGCGGAAAAATGGTGTAAATTAATTGAGGTATCCGTGCCGGCGGAAAAAAAACACCAGGCAGCCAAAGAAGCAGACAAAAGGCTGAAATATAGAAATTTGGAAATTGAAATAACCAGGATGTGGGGAACAAAAACAAACGATTCCGGTCATCGTGGGAGCATCACTGGGAGCCATGCCACCCCATTCAATGAAAGGAAATTTAAAGGAGATTTTGAAGACCCTAAAGGAGGAAACTATCCAGGAAATCGCACTATGTGGGACGGCCCACATTCTTCGGAAAATACTCTATAAATAGCACCACCGAAATTTGAGTATTTGCCCCTAAGGAATCGGGTAGAAACCTGGGATAAATGCTTAAAAACCCCGACAAATAAGAGACTTGTCGTGTTTAAGAGTGACCGTAATAATAATAATAATTAAAATTGAATAAGTTGACATGCGTTTACATCATGTCAACTTATTTAATTAATTTTTAATAATTTTATTTAGTGATTTAGTTATAAAAAGTTATGTATGTATCAAAAGTTTTGTAATTTAGTCTAATTTATTGTAATAAATTATTTTTTTTATATTAATTACTTGTTTTTTATTTTGTACTCCTTATTTTAAATGCATTGATTGAATTTTATTTTACCCTTTACCTCCTTGGATCTTATGTTTTACGGATACATCGGAAAAAATTTTCGATTAAAAATTAAGTTAAAAATGACATTGAGCGCGAAAATCCAACGTTTACGATTTATTCTAAAGTAGGTCGACCTTGAATCCAAGGCCATTAGTTTTAAATTTCAATTTTGTGAAAATTTTCATGGTCACGATTTTTCAACCAAGGTCGACCTTGAATCCAAGGCCATTAGTTTTAAATTTCAATTTTGTGAAAATTTTCATGGCCACGTTTTTTCAACCAAGGTCGACCTTGTTTACTGTTTACGCTAAGTAGGACGACCTTGTATATTTTACCTGGCACACATTTTATTTTAAGCGGGAATCCATTGTTTGAATTTTATTTTTTTCTATACCTCCTTGGGTATTATGTTTTTCTGATACATTTGGCCAAAATTTTCGATGTTTTTTAGGTAGAAAATTAAAATTTGTATGCTGTGAATAAGGATGTACATTAAGGACGAAAAAAAAAAAGAAAAAATTTAATTCACAATAATAAATTATATTTTTGTTAAAATTAAATTTTTTTATGTCTTTTTTTCCCATAATTATTCAACATGTAATTTTATGCAATAAAATTAAAATAAATAAATAAATTGAAAAAAAAAAAAAAAAGTTTACATTTTTTCATTGGGGGGGAGAGAGGTTAAATTTACAATAAAACTTAAAACGATAAAATCATACAAGAACAAAGGGCGTTCAAATCAATTTTTTTTTCTGCACGATCACAATAAGTTTAATAACAATAATAATAATAATATTTTGTTTTAACTCGAAACGCGTTTTCATATAAAATAAAATAAAACTTGACTTATTATTATTGTTGAATTACATTTTATACTTATTTTAGTTTTTCTTATACTTTGACTAACATTAATAATAATAATAATGATATTGATGACAATATCGACAGTGATAATAATAATAAAATTACCTAAAATCAATCTATCGAGTCATGAAATTAAAATAAAAAATTTAAAAAAATAGCATTTTTTTAGATTATTATTTCTCTTAACCTAATTCATTTTTTTCTCTTTTATCCTCTCTCTACCCCTCCCCCCCGCAAACGACGACGTCATTTCCGTTTTACACGAAAAACCAAAAAAAAAAACTTAAAAAACGAAAAGAAAAACTCGAATTTCCCAAGCATTGTGCGCTGCGAAAATCATTTCGACCGAATTTTTTTTTTTTTTTTTCTATTTTCTTCTTCCTTTTCCTTTTCTTTACCTTTTTGTTTCTTCTTTTTCCACCACCTCCTCCTCCTCCTTCTTCTTCTTCTTCTTTTTTCCTCTTTCCAATCAATCATCTTCGTCTTCGTCATCGCTATTCGTGTACTTTGGTTGAGTTTTCCTCCTTCTCGTGCTTCCTCTTCCTCCTTTTCAACTTTTTATATTTATTTTCATTCTAACGGATTCCGATTCGGAATTTCCATCCTCGTCTCCTCCGTCTGAAAATTTAAAAAATCCAAAATAAATAAAATTCAACGAACAAAAATCCTTTTTTATGCGATTCTCTCATCACCTTTATCCTCATCCTGTTCCAATCTTTGTCTCGCGTTCGTAAACACGGATTGAAGGACGATCGAATCTTCGTGTATGAGAGAAGGTTCTTCGTTGTATATTTGAGCATTTTTACACATTTGAGTAAAATCCTTTTCCAAATCGTCAAAATCCGAATACTGAAACAACAACGACAAGAGTCAGAATGAAACTTTTCCCCCCCCCAGCTTACTTTTCCATCTTCTATCCTGTTAAATATTTTCTTTATATCCAAAGGTTTTTTTATTATGTCGTAATAATCCGGTAATTTATTACCGTCGATTTTCATTGCGCTCCGAGCTGCTTTCCTACAAAGTTGAAGCAAAGCAAAATGTTAATCGTCACGAAATGTCACGTGATAAAAATTCTAACAGCTAATAATGCCAATTATACCTGTTTTCTCTTTCTTGAAGAATTGTGAGAATATCTAATCCCGTGGGTTTAGGTATTGCAGTGACTCGATATTGTTTGGCCGGCGTTTGACCGGGCTGGGGTACGGCCGTCGTTGTTCCAGGTCGCACGGTCGTGGGAGGAAGAGATCCGTGTTGAGGTTAAACGATACCTCCAGGTCCTAAAATATTAAAATTACCGGATTCCCTATGGGATCCTCTTGTTTTCCAAGCATTTCTTAAATTCCATGCAAAATATATGGCAAAAAAAATGTACTTGAAATGCGGCCAATATGAAAACTCACCATAATAAACCATAGGGTAAACCTTGCCACATCATTTTCTCCTGATCTAAGATAAGTCCAAACATCATGAAAAATAATCATTTTCCTTTTTTCATAAAACTCTTTAGTTTTAGGAGAAAAAAACTGGTCCAATGCAGTTTTGACCTCATTGTTGTTTTGGAATTTTTGTCCGTTCAAAAAATTTTTTAGGGATCGGAAAAAATGATAATTATTTGGAGCTAGTTTGGGACTATATGGAAGGTGCAGCAAAACATCCCAGCCTAGCTCCAGTAGTTTTTGTCCAGTGGCTAAAGATGGGGAGGGTCTGGCATTAGCGTGGTGAAAGACAATTTCTTTGCTACTGGCTAGCTCCGATCGTTTTTCTTGGACGGTATCATTTAAATTTGTCAATTTTCAAATGTAAACCTCTGAATTTATGGTCTGACTTTGTGGCAGCAGCTCAAGTTGACTGTGCCTTTGTAATCCCACCAAAATGATAACAATAACTTTTTTGGTGAATG